TGTGTGTGTGTGTGTGTGTGTGTGTGTGTGTGTGTGTGTGAAGCATTAAAACGGCGCTGACGCAGGAGCCGAATGGCCCACTTCATTAACCTTTATACACCTGTGTAAGCGTTGAGCGCCGTATTATTTCTCTCTCAGAGACGCTCAGACTAACTAATGGAGTCACAGAGCCAGAGGAAGCTTTATTTTTCACAAAACCAAGGAATGAAATGTGTTTCTTCAGCTATGGCCACTTTTGGCCCTGTGGACGTCTGGGAATCAAATTCCTTTACAAGAAACTTTCCAAACTCACTGGCTTATTTTCTCTAATAACGTGAACATAAATGCAACGCTGGAGAAATCTGACATTTTTCCTCTGGACCGTCAAAAAGAAATGTAATTTCCTCAACCGCATCCTTTACATTAAATACGTTATGTTATATACTTCTAAATATGTTATAATATATAATTATATACTTCTATACTACAGTACTATTGTTGCATAATTGGCAAAAATAAGTAACTTTATATAAGGCTTTATCAGAGAATAAATTATTATAATAATTACAATAAATTATTACATTTCTTCACACAAATTATTTTGAATATTAAAAATGTATTTTACCCTTTTTTATTTTATATGTTATATATTTTAAATTATATTTAAAATATATTCTCATTATTTTTTTATAATTTGTTAAAGAAAAGAAAATATTAACTTTAGATAAAGCTTTATTAGAGAATAAATTGTAATAATTACAGTAAATTATTATCTTCACACAAATCATTTTTGCACAATAAATGTTGAAATATTTTATTTTTGTTCAGTTTATACATTTTACAATATATTATATCATTTATTTTAAATATATTTTCACACTTGTGTAATTTGGTAAAAACAAAAGTAAGAAATAACTAGATAAAGCTTTTATTAGGGAATACGTTATTTTAATAATTATTAATTATTAATTATCTTCGCACAAATCATTTCACACAATAAATATTAATGGTTCATTTATAATCTGTTTTGTTTATGCACTACATATTATATTAAATATTTTAAATATGTTTATTCTTGCATAATTTGGTTTAAAAAGAGGTAAGAAGAAACTTTAGAGAAAGCTTTAAAAGGGAATAATTTACTATAATAATCAGAAGAAATTATACAATAAATAATGAATTGGTATATTTTACTCTATTCAGTTTATATGTTATATATTTTAATTATGTTTACACTCTTCTTGCATTATTTGTTAAAACATACAATCAAACAAGCAAATAAATAAATACTAAATAATTTAATTAATTAATTAATTAACTTTAGATAAAGCTTTATTAGGGAATAAACTATTATAATAATTATAATAAAATATTAATAACCTTCACACAAATCATTTTCATGCAATATATATTGAAATGGGTCATTTTATCCTGTTTAGTTTATTCACGTGTATTAATTATTCACACTTTATATTTTTATAATGGATTTTTATAGTTTAGCATTGGAAGCAAAGAGTAAAGCAGTGAAATCTGCATAAAAGCCATTTGTAGTAAAAATGAAAGCTGAAAGTAAAACATTTTAACAAGACCGTTTTAGAGTGATTTTTACTGTTTTCATAAAGTCAACCGCCGGAACAAGAAAGTGGAAGAAACAGCCAGATATGATAAAAGCTTCCAGCTGTAAGAACGGCAGCGTTTCGCTTTCGTTTACTGACCGTTCGGAGCGTTTCTGCAATCGTAAACATCACAGATTTACTCATGCGTTTACAGACACACGCCGCCGTCTCTGTACATTACACTGTCTGTGGTATCAACAGATTTGACCCTCGCAGGAAATTAATTGGAATGAGTTTATATATTTCTAACCTAATCTGGTTAAGTGCATGGATCGCCGCAGTCAGGCTTGGGCTTTAATCAATTTCTCGGAGCGAAAGCCCTGGAAAGAGACACAATCTTTCTGTTCTGATGCTGCGCCGCTGCATAGAGCGAAGCCGAATGGAGCAAAATATGCTTATTATTAGTTTTGTGTGCGCAGACGCAATAAATCACGTTGACACAAATTGACAATATCTTAGCATCGGCATGGAATCAGTTCGGATTGTAATAAATATAAGCTCATTATTATGTCTCCGCGGCCTCTGGCCCCTTTGACCTGCTGTCATTAATAAGCCGCCTCTTATTTATCAACATTTTAAATGCCAACTTCAAGTCGAAATGAAATCTTTCTGCATGCGTCCAATCCGTCTCCTCGAGGGAGAGAGTTCAGATCCAGCTTGATACAACACACCTGTCTGGAAGCTTCCAGAAACCCTGAAGACCTTGATTAGCCGCTTCAGGTGTGTTTCATAACTCTGCTGGATAGTTCAGTGTTTCAGGAATAAAGTTTGGCACTCGTGGAGTAGATGCACACGCTTCTAAAGGACTAGTTCATTAGTTAGTTCAGAGTTCAGAAAAAATAATTATTTACTTAGTCATGTTTTTCCAAATAGACACACAAAATCTAGATGTAGCCTACCGTAAAATTAAATCATATATATAATAAGTTTCCTCAATAACTAATTGTTTTATTGAAGACCATACAGTTCTGGACTATAAAGCATTACTTTTGGAATAAAGAAAAATAGTCTTCATTAATTTATTTAATATTTAAAACCATGTTAATGACTTCAGTATACCACAAAATGTTGAAAATAAGCAGCTTGTCATAATTACAGCAGGAACACCATAAAAGGTGCGTAGCAGGAACCTTCAAATATCATGTTGGAAACCAGTGAACATGTTGAGAACCACTGATGTATAGCATTCTGATTGATTTATGTAATTGATTCAGTAATTATAACATAATAAAATAAATAAATAATAATAAATGCCTCTGGAAATAAATTCCAGGGGTCAGATATTGTCCCTTAATGTAAAAGTTAATTTCTGACCCTAGTTCACACTGCTGTTAAATAGTCAGCATGGATGGCAAGCTCTCAAAATAACAAAACATCACACACACACACACACACACACACACACACACACACTCAGGTTTGTTTCTTTGAAAAGTGGGGACATCCCATAGGCGTAATGGTTTTTATACGGTACAGACCGTATATTCTATTGCCCTACACCAACCCTACCCCTAAACCTACCCCTCACAGGAGACTTTGTGCTATTTCAGATTTTCAATACACTCCATTCTGTGTGATTTATAAGCGTTTTGAAAAGTGGGGACATGGGGTAATGTCCTGAAAAGTCACCTTCTCCTTGTAATACCTGTCATACCTTTGTCATTATACAAATGTATGTCCTCATTTGTCACAAAAACGCACACACACACACACACACACACACACACACACAATAAATAAATAGTTCATATGACTCTGCACTGTATTCCAAATCTCCTAAAGTCGCGAGAGTCTGAAAATCTCCTTCACCGCAGAAGTTCTGAAATCTCATGTGAATATTCAAACTTGAACCAGTGACATTTGGTGTCATGGACGTCAAACTTGGTGTGAATGCAAGAGCTTCAGAGAATAATCTGTAATTTCGTATTATTTTCCCACACTTAGCTACAAATCTTTGCAATGTATAGAGAATTTCTGCACAAATTCTATGGATTGTTAACCTTAATTATAATTGTATATGGAAAAGAGCAGCATGAACATTCTTCTACATTACTTATTTTGTGCTTCACGGAAGAAAAGCGAAGAGTTTGCGATGATGTAATAAATCATGAAAGTCTTAACTATTCCTTTGTGTATATATCGGCAGTATTGTAATGTGATGAGTGAAATTAAAAGTGAAAGTACAGCATAAAGCAGTAAGATCCACATAAAAGGCATTCGTAGCAAAAAATGAAAACTAAAGGTGAAACATTTAACAGGACTGTTTGAGTGTGTTTTTTTAGTTTTGAAGTATGTGTTACATGAAAATACTGTATCAGTCTTTCACAATTTCAATGTGTTACTTGCATTTCTTTGTGAAATTTATTGAAATTTCTGAGTGAAAATTATTTAAAAGTAAATCTTACACCATTTGTTTTCAGTGTATGCATTATATAAATGTTTTATATTTTTGCAAAACCTGAATTTAACTTTTAAAAAGTTACTAATAATAATGTACAAATTGAATTCGAATAGCTGCAATATATGGCTGTTTGTCCTCTTACTATAGTGCTTTCTGGATGCACACTAGTCTAGTTTAACTCAACCGGTAGTTTAACATGTCAGTCAGGCAGCGTCTTCATTTCTAAATGAATGCTTCCTGGCCAGAATGAGCTACAGTAGCATAATATGCAGCAGATGTAATGTGTCGCATTGTAAGAGCATCAGTCATTGTCTAGTGAAAGTGATGCAGCACAATGTGTCGAGCAGAAATACAAGAGCGGTGACGTTGATGGTATGTGAAAGCATAGTGAATAACATTTAATTCTCCTCCATAATCTGTGTTGATCGCTTTCCTTTTATATACGTGATGGATCACCAAAAGCAGCCCACTCTCTAAAAAATGCTGGGTTAAATACAACCCAGCGCTGGGTAAAATATGGACAAACCCAGTGATTGCAGCCCTATGCAGCTTGCGTATTTTGCGTATAGGGAGGATCGGCTCTGGTTGTATTTAACCCAGCATTTTTTAGAGTGCAAATGTTTTGACCCAGCATTTGTGTTACTGCAAATTGCTGGGTCAAAAGAACCCAATCGCTGGGTTTGTCCATATTTTACCCAACGCTGGGTTGTATTTAACCCAGCATTTTTTAGAGTGCAAATATGTGGCTACTCAGCAACACATTTCTATCATATCATGTGATCGTGTGCCCAGCAGTGAGCCGTTATCCATCATATAAAATGAAAATTAGCATGAAGTGCTTTCAAACCCACACTCACTTGTCTTTCTCTCTGTTTGTCTGAAGTTTTCCTGTGCCCAGGGCTCTTACGCGGCGTTTATCAGAGCGAGCATCTGTTCGAGTCGGACCACCAGTCGGGAGCTTGGTGCAAAGACCCCCTCCAGGCCTCGGATAAGATCTATTACATGCCCTGGACGCCGTATCGCACGGACACCCTCACTGAATACTCCAGCAAAGAGGATTTCATTGCAGGACGACCCACCACGACCTACAAGCTCCCCCATCGGGTCGACGGCACCGGGTTTGTCGTCTACGACGGCGCGCTGTTCTTCAACAAGGAGCGAACTAGGAATATCGTCAAGTTCGATTTACGCACTCGCATCAAGAGTGGCGAGGCTATCATTGCTAGCGCGAACTACCACGACACTTCGCCATATCGCTGGGGAGGCAAGTCGGATATCGATTTGGCGGTGGACGAGAATGGTCTTTGGGTGATTTACGCCACGGAGCAAAACAATGGCCGGATCGTGATCAGCCAACTCAACCCATATACGTTACGTGTGGAAGGAACTTGGGATACGGCCTACGACAAACGCTCCGCTTCCAACGCCTTCATGATCTGTGGGATCCTGTACGTCGTCAAGACCGTCTACGAAGACGACGATAGCGAAGCCACCGGGAATAAAATCGACTACATCTACAACACGGAGCTGAGCAAAGACGGCTATCTGGACATCCCCTTCCCGAACTCGTACCAGTACATCGCTGCCGTGGATTACAATCCCAGAGACAATCTGCTCTATGTGTGGAATAACTACCACGTGGTCAAGTATTCGCTGGATTTTGCAGTCCTGGATAACAGGCTAGGTAAGAGCTGGAGCATTTATTCGCACAAGTTTTAAACTGTGATCTGTGAATCGCACAAAAAACGTGTTTCAAAAGGAAAATAGTAAGAAAGATCCTATGAAATCAAAATTGTTCAAGTTTTGTGCCGTTTAGCTCATGCCTGATCATCTGTTTCCTGGCGTACTCTTAGAAGTTGATACAATCATATTTCACAGCTTTAACGTAAACGTAACACAACTTTAATTTTTAGATTACATTTGAATCAAGTAAAAAAAAAAGTTAAACTAAATTATACATGGAGATATGCTTCAATTACATGTTTTTCCCCTATTTTTATATTGTATTAAAATAATTTATTATTGTTTTTATTATTATTATAAACAACAACAACAATAATAATCATAACAATACATTGTTATTAATTAATAATAATAAAAAATGTAACATTTAACTTTTTTTGGGGGGGGGGGTCCTCTGGTGTATATCAAGCAATACAACCCTTCCATTTATGTCATTCCTCAAAAGGAAATACATCAGTGCGAGAAACACAACGCTGCACTCATTAAGTGATTTCATGGGGTCTTTGGCCCTAACACTTTTTCACACCACTGTATATATATATATATATTTATATATTTATTTATTTATTTATTTATTTTTATGAAATGTAAAAAAAATAATAATAAAATAAAATAAAAATTCAAAATAAATTAATAATAAATAAATAAATAATAAATAAATAAATTAAATTGTCTTACAAATAACCTTTATTTCTGTTATGCAAAATATGATCTTGTATTTCTACATCAGTGCGAGAAACACAACGCTGCACTCATTAAGTGATTTCATGGGGTCTTTGGCCCTGTCCACACGAACGCGGTTATTTTTAAAACCGCAGCTTTTTCTACATGGTTTGGCCATTCGTCCACATGCAAATGCAGCACCAGGTCACTGAAACCGATCATTTTTGAAAATGCCTGCCAGTGTGAAGATTTTCAAAAACTCCAGTTGCAGTGTTATCGTGTAGACAGCGAAACCGGAGTTTTTGGCAATAATAAATAAATAATAAATAAATAAATTAAATTGTCTTACAAATAACCTTTATTTCTGTTATGCAAAATATGATCTTGTATGTCTTACAATTTTAGTCTGAAATATGACATGTTTTAAAGAGATTCACTGTGGCCTCCTTAAAACTACTAATAACATTTTGGTGAATGCGCGGGTGGAGCTGCTGGTGGGAATGTTGTGGTTGTGAAAATGCCCAACATGGCTTTAGGGTTGAGATTATATCACCACCTATTGGTTTGGCATGCTCTTGACAGTGCTTCATAGCTTGCGTTTGCGTTTTCATGTGGATGGAGATTTTTTTTAAAACTCTGTTTATAAAAATACCGTGTATGTGTGGACATGGCCTCAGAAGAAAATTAAGCCTATTTTTAGAATTATCGTTATTTTGAAAGAATACATGAAAGTTAAGCATATTTCACACCTAACTTCTCATTACTATGTGAATGTGAAAAAAAAACATTTTGTGAAATAATCATTTTAAATACATAACATTAAATTTTTACTTTTTTTATTTATTTATTTGTGCCACTTCATTAATTTTTGTTGATTTCTAAATAAATCCATAATTTAGTTTTACTGTATTTAAATAAAAATGTGACTATTATAGAAAACAACAACAACAACAATAAGTATCACCATAATTACAAATGAACAATCTTTAGATCATTGTTCATTGATTCATGATGTGTTGCTCTTTAAGCATGCTTCACTTTGTCAGACAGGTTCTATTTAAGTGATTTCTTGATTCAACAGGTCTGGCAGTAATCAGGCCTGGGTGTAGCTAGTGAAATTGAACTCAGCTTTCTAAAATAATGTGGTTAATTGCAGTTCTTTCATGATTTAACAGGAGGGGGCAATTAATTTTTCACGTAGGGCCAGGTAGGTTTGGACAGCTTTTTTCCCTTAATAAATGAAATCATCATTTAAAAAACTGCATTTTGTATTTACTTGCATTATCTTTGTGTAATATTAAAATGTGTTTGAGGATCTGAATCTTTTAAGTGTGATAAATATGCAAAAAAATAAGAAATCTGGAAGGGGGCCAACACTTTTTCACACCACTGTATATATATATATATATTTATATATTTATTTATTTATTTATTTATTTTTATGAAATGTAAAAAAAATAATAATAAAATAAAATAAAAATTCAAAATAAATTAATAATAAATAAATAAATAATAAATAAATAAATTAAATTGTCTTACAAATAACCTTTATTTCTGTTATGCAAAATATGATCTTGTATGTCTTACAATTTTAGTCTGAAATATGACATGTTTTAAAGAGATTCACTGTGGCCTCCTTAAAACTACTAATAACATTTTGGTGAATGCGCGGGTGGAGCTGCTGGTGGGAATGTTGTGGTTGTGAAAATGCAAACTTTGTCTTTTGATTTAGTGAAATGAGTTGTTTGGTGTCTGCGGGCGGCACACAGATCGAATGATTTTCAGTGCTGTTTGCTTGAGTTAGTGGTCGGACCAGAAACGTTGGAATGCTCTCTTTAATTGGAAAAGCATTGAGTGGAGTTTGTGGAGGGGAAGTTCATGGCCGCTTTCTGAAAGTCGGAATGTCGTCGACAGGACCAGCACTAATTACAGAGCGAATGTTTCTCAAATGTGTGACATTCCTTTCGCTATTTAATTAAAAGCCTTTTGAAGAAAGAAAACTTTCATAAACATCTTCACTAACACTGTGGGAAGAACACTGTTTCTGCCGCACAGTAATATGCAGGAGTCGTATTGGGTTCATCACTAGGAGAAAATAATCATTGAAATCATTTGTAAATTTGTTTTTTAATTGCTTTCCACCATTTGTTCACGGTCACCCTCATTGCCAGCCAAAGTATCTTAATTGCCACCACATTGTTAGAAAAAAATAAAATAAAATCAAGAGTTTTCTGCTGCAAAGCTGTTATTACTATTACATCATATACTATTCTAATTATTTTATTATATACAACTATATATTAAATATATTTTAAAATGTATATTTTAAATAAAGAACATTTTTGATATTTTCTTTTTAGATGTTTACATATTTTGTTTTACATTTCAATGCAACTATAAAACAAAAAATAAATGTTACAACAAAAATATAAATTATAAATATTTTTTTTTATTTCCTATCTATACCTTTTATACCTGTAAAAGTGATTTAAAAGACAATAAACCCTTCCATGTATTTCAATTGAACTTAATTGATTTTGGCCGTGTGCAAAAAGTAAATATTGCATTTTATCCAACTATATTATATTAAAATGTATTACATTTTAAATATTAATGCAAAAATGTTAATTATTTTAAATCAAATTCACTGTTTGTTTGTTTTTTTACATTTCATTGCAAAAATAAATAAACTGCTAAAACAAAAATCTAATCTTTTGTAACTGTAAAATAGGGAGTTCAAAATCTAATTGTGAGAATAAGTAGTAGTGATATTTGATATTTGTCTTGGCCAGCAAGCTCTAACAAGAAGATTATTCTCTTAATGAAAGTTTCGTTTTCATTGACAGACAAATCTGTGTTCAGAGTCACAATTATGTGTCCCTGGTGATAGCAGCGGTTTGGACGGCATGCATTTCGTTTCATTTTCCTGGTGTACTTGATCTGTAAGAGAACGTTTTGGGCACAGTTGAATGGACGTGTTTTTGACAGAGAGGTAACAGCTGCGGCCACTTCACATTTACACTCTCAGCCTGTCATGAGCCGTCAGCACGCTAACTGCTGCTCTTCACCACTGCTTTCAGACAGAAATTGCAAATGCTACTTGTTTATTTTTATTTTTTATATTAGGCAGCATATAGTTTATAGCCTGTTGGACAGTGTTCAGCATCCAAATATGCTAGTATTATAATCTAAACGCATTAGTGTGAACTGTCATCTTCTACGGTCAGTTTTCTGTGGAGCAATAGTTTGAAGTGAATATCGCTGAGCAAGTTAGATACACTGTTTACAACATTCTACCTGAGTAATAGTACATCCAGTTTAATGCCGCAGACATGCTTGCAATGCATTTTTACCCTTGCATAGAGGATGTTTCTGTTGTGTGTAGCATTGCATAATGGTATGTATAATATGAGGTGAAGTTACTCTTATTAAGTGATAGTGTGATTTTAGACACTACGTGCATAGAGTCAGGAAATGACCCACTCAGAGCTTTCTTAAATCACACATGCAGAGAGAGCAGTGTGTGTGTGTGTGTGAGTGTGTGAGTGAACGCTTGTTTCTCATGGAATTAATCTTCATCTGAAGGTGACTCTTTGATGTGGTTATTTGACTGGGGCAAACAGAGTGACACAAACAGTGAAAAGTCCCAGTGCATCCAAAAGCAGTCAAAAAGGGAGCGTGAGGCACTTCAGAGTCATAACATAGCAAATGAGACACACTACGGTCTAGTGTTTTTCAACTCCAGTCCCCGGGACCCACATTCCAGAATGTTTTAGATGTAAGTTGAATCTGGTGAGTGTTTTAATTAGTGAGACATAGGCCCTGTGCTAAATGGCATACTTGTGGTCTTGTGATGGGCATTGCTGACTGTTTCTCTGTATATATATATATATATATATATTTTTTTTTTTATGCAATAATGAAAGCTAATGGCAAAAACTTTGTCTTTTGATTTAGTGAAATGAGTTGTTTGGTGTCTGCGGGCGGCACACAGATCGAATGATTTTCAGTGCTGTTTGCTTGAGTTAGTGGTCGGACCAGAAACGTTGGAATGCTCTCTTTAATTGGAAAAGCATTGAGTGGAGTTTGTGGAGGGGAAGTTCACGGCCGCTTTCTGAAAGTCGGAATGTCGTCGACAGGACCAGCACTAATTACAGAGCGAATGTTTCTCAAATGTGTGACATTCCTTTCGCTATTTAATTAAAAGCCTTTTGAAGAAAGAAAACTTTCATAAACATCTTCACTAACACTGTGGGAAGAACACTGTTTCTGCCGCAC